CAGAGCATAATGTTTAATATAAAAAGTATTAAAACTAAATCTTCTAGCAGCCTAAGTTAGGAGGTAAAGGATCCAGAATTTGGTTTTGGAACAGTTTTTTCGGATTCAGGATATCTGAAATATGCTAGAAAAATACATTACCGACTGTTACCCAGAAATGCCTCCCACTTGAACGTTTCTCTGACAAGTCTGTAACTATTTGGCTATGATTTAAATTTATTTTAGTTACTAAGTTGTGAACAAATTTTTACACCTAGAAATCTTTGGATTTTTAAGAAAATGTTTTTTTTTTTTCATTTTGTTCATGTAATATTTTGACAGAATACAATTCATGTTTAAAATTTCTACCATAATAACCTTTCTAGTTCTTGCTGATTGATGTTGTTTTGAATGTTAACAAGGAAACACTCATTGTTAATATCATACATTATTTATTTTACTATTACTATTGGTATGTTGATTTTCTGATTTTAGATTAAAAAAATTAAGATAGGACATGACAACTCAGGGATAGGTCCTGGGTGGTACTTAGGCACAGTAACTATTGATTTCCCATCTGAAAGTCGACGTTATGAGTTTGTGTGTAATCGATGGTTATCTAAATCAGACGATGATGGACAGATTGTAAGAGAACTTCAGCCAACTAGTTCAGAAGGTAATTATTAAAATCAATTTAGATAATGTGAATATCTCAGACATCTCTTTGAAACAGACTAATTAGATGAACTATACAAATAAAAAATACCTATAAAATGCATTTCCTTAATTCACAAGCTGTAACGAAGAATTGCGGAAAATTGTTATTTTGACTTCAAAACAAATCAAGATTTCCAAAACCGCTTGTCTTATTAGAGGTCAAAACTAATTCTATATCCTTATTGCAAATTTCTGGTCATCTCCTAAGTTGGTGAGCGCCTCGTAATAGAGGTTGAAACTAATTCTATGTTTGATTTATATTTTAGAATTAATAAAAGTTGTATATTATAATTATTGAGAGGGAATTGATATTATATTGTTGATGTAGGTTTATGTTAAAGGTAATATAAATTAATAAAAGTTGTATATTATAATTATTGAGAGGGAATTGATATTATATTGTTGATGTAGGTTTATGTTAAAGGTAATATAAATTAATAAAAGTTGTATATTATAATTATTGAGAGGGAATTGATATTATATTGTTGGTGTAGGTTTATGTTAAAAGTAATATAAATTAATAAAAGTTCTATATTATAATTATTGAGAGGGAATTGATATTATATTGTTGATGTAGGTTTATGTTAAAGGTAATATAAATTAATAAAAGTTGTATATTATAATTATTGAGAGGGAATTGATATTATATTGTTGATGTAGGTTTATGTTAAAGGTAATATAAATTAATAAAAGTTGTATGTTATAATCATTGAGAGGGAATTGATATTATATTGTTGATGTAGGTTTATGTTAAAGGTAATATAAATTAATAAAAGTTGTATATTATAATCATAGAGAGGGAATTGATATTATATTGTTGGTGTAGGTTTATGTTAAAGGTAATATAAATTAATAAAAGTTGTATGTTATAATTATTGAGAGGGAATTGATATTATATTGTTGATGTAGGTTTATGTTAAAGGTAATATAAATTAATAAAAGTTGTATATTATAATTATTGAGAGGGAATTGATATTATATTGTTGATGTAGGTTTATGTTAAAGGTAATATAAATTAATAAAAGTTGTATGTTATAATCATTGAGAGGAAATTGATATTATATTGTTGATGTAGGTTTATGTTAAAGGTAATATAAATTAATAAAAGTTGTTTATTATAATTATTGAGAGGGAATTGATATTATATTGTTGATGTAGGTTTATGTTAAAGGTAATATAAATTAATAAAAGTAGTATATTATAATCATAGAGAGGGAATTGATATTATATTGTTGGTGTAAGTTTATGTTAAAGGTAATATAAATTAATAAAAGTTGTATATTATAATTATTGAGAGGGAATTGATATTATATTGTTGGTGTAGGTTTATGTTAAAGGTAATACAAATTAATAAAAGTTGTATATCATAATTATTGAGAGGGAATTGGTATTATATTGTTGATGTAGGTTTATATTAAAGGTAATATAAATTAATAAAAGTTGTATATTATAATTATTCAAAGGTAATTGATATTATATTGTTGGTGTAGGTTTATGTTAAATGTAATATAAATTAATAAAAGTTGTATATTATAATTATTGAGAGGGAATTGATATTATATTGTTGATGTAGGTTTATGTTAAAGGTAATATAAATTAATAAAAGTTGTATATTATAATTATTGAGAAGGAATTGATATTATATTGTTGATGTCGGTTTATATTAAAGGTAATATAAATTAATAAAAGTTGTATATTATAATTATTGAGAGGAAATTGATATTATATTGTTGATGTAGGTTTATGTTAAAGTTAATATATATAAATTAATAAAAGTTGTATATTATAATCATAGAGAGGGAATTGATATTATATTGTTGGTGTAGGTTTATGTTAAAGGTAATATAAATTAAT